AGAAACACGCCAGAATCGAGAATCGACCTCAAACTCGATTCTGGCGCACTCACTGACCCAGAATCGAAGTAGAATCGACAACTCTGACTGCCCCTATTTGTTCCAGCATATAGGCGAAAGCAGGCGGAGTGTTCGTAGTATGCGATCGATGGGAAAGAGAGATCTCATACAGGTGCATTGGAGAACTAGTTTGCGATACCATGGCGGACAGGCTCCGTCAGAATTCAAAAGATCTATGTTCCTCCGTGAATGAGGCGGAGCCTGACAGATTCGGGTCTCGAAGTAGTGAGGCGGAGCTCAATCCCAATAGAACACTACTTCATCTTCGGTGTCTTCCTCGTCCTCGTCCTCGTCTGTATCACTCTCTTCCTCTTCCTCGTCTTCTGAATCACTTTCGGCCGCAGGCCACACGATCACCAGCCTTCCGTTCGTCATGCTTTCCAATTCTCGGAGTCGCTTCCAGTCGATGGGATGTGTTTGTTTGTGGCTGAAACTAGGATACATGAAAAAGGAAAACTGTATCTGGTTCAGTTGCACTGGTGTGAGCTGATCAGAAGATGGCTGAGCCACCAGCTGAAGGGAACGCGACTCCACGAGCGCTGAAAGCAGGCCATCGGAGGCGTAGATCGTTTGCAGATGGATATGGGCGAGGCAGGGCAGCTGATAGTCAGGGCCCTGGTAGGTGAGATACTTGAGGAACGCGTCTTGGACGGGGACACAGGGATCCATGACTGTGAGCGATTCCAGCGTATTACAGGCCTTGTGCCGTAGGCATTCAATGACCTCTATTTCAAGCAAAGTGCAATCGAAAATTTCGAGGGACCGTAGAGCGCACGAGCAGCGGGAAAGAAAGGCATCCATCTCGCCGGATGGCCAATCATCGACCTCGCGAATTGCAAAGTCTACGAGGTTGGGGAACTCGGCGCACTGCAGAAATTCACCGAATTCTTCGTGGCACCCTATTCTCAAGCTCTTCACCGACTTCATACCGAGGCGGCTTTGGGGTGAGCAAACAGCGCCAGTCCCATAGGTGTAAAAGGCGATTTTTTCGATACTCGAAGCTTCCTCGAAAATCCGAAATACCTCCAACATGGGGAGGGGGTTAAGCAGCTCCAAGACGGTGACATTGGTCATTGGGAATCTGTCTAGAGCAAGATGGGACGTAGAGAACCGCGACACGCAGCGCGAGGTATGGCATGCCGCGTGAATCCATCTCCATACGCTGCCCTTTGCAGGCAAATTGACGCGGACAGTTGAAAGGAGAGGAGCTTGGATCGATTCGATGCGCGGCTTGAAGGTGACGATAGAATAAAGGTCGTCCATCAGCTTTTGGTACGGTTTGTTTGCAAATCGGCCTTGTATAAACTTGTCAGAGGAGAATGCTGACCGAAGTAAACAGCCATATGTACCTAGCGATAATTCAACAGTGTGATTGAGATGCATCGCAAACGTCGATAGGACTGGAAGCACGAATTGTGGATAAACACCATCTCCCCAACGCAGCTCGAGAGCAACAGGGAGCGATCGCGAACGTTCCAGCCACGTTGAAACCCATTTCATAGGACGAATGGGAGAACGAATGGACAAAATGTTCCATAGTGCAGGTGTTTGTAAAGCAATCGCTCTCCATATCGGACAGACGTTGCAGAGGCGCAAAGTGCCTGCGCGATCGTCTTTTCCAAAAGCGTCGCCACAAACTCTACTCTCCAAAGTCAGCTGAAAAATCTGAGATATGATCTCGACAGGAAGTCGACGCCAGGGTGCAAGCAACGCCCGATGAAAGGCTATCAACTCTCCTAAATATTGTAGTTCGCGGAGCAATCCATGAGGAATTTTGACTATCTTTCCGCATTGTCTCTCGGGAATTTGTGAGAGAAGGTGGTCGAAGTTAGCAGTCTTCTCCGTAAGTATCACTTCAATTGCGCTCTGTTCCTGGGCAGAAGGAACACGGTCTTGCTCGAAGAGAGTGAAGAAAGAGGATTCATTGGCCGCACTAAATGCCTGTACCTCTATGATGGGCATTCTTAAGAGCTGAATCCTGAGATTGGTTTTGAGAAACGTAGGCAGATGGAAGAGGCAGTTCGTCGCAGGCAATGGAGCAGGGCGTGTAGCGTCAAAGAACGCCAGTCTTTTGGGCATCTCAAACTGCAGAATTGTGTGTAAGTGGTGGAGATCGCACAGCCACACATTCGTTTTCTCCTTCTTCCAAGCGCATCTTCCTACAGAATCCTACTTGAACAACAATAGAATGCCTCACAATCTTGTGCCTGGATAACTAGCCGGGAAAATCGCGTAGTACTGCTGGGGAATCTCGAAATGGATCCAGGAATCCACTGCTATACTATATAGCATATAGCCGCAATACTGACTTCAAGAAGTGCCGCGATTGGGTCGTCAATCTCAACCAGCGCCGCGACTCGCGGCCCTAAAATGGCTCAGGAAGTTGAGGGTATGATTCTCAACGCTGCCGGCGAGGTGTACAAGCCTTAACGACGCTTTCATGAAGATTCGCAAGGCTTCGCAGCAAGACGGTCTCTTTTGCTCGTTTTCAGAATTCGCCGCCACGGAAGTTGAGCCGCTTTTTGCAGCGAAGGTGATATACCCTTCTAGTTACTTGCTATCTATCGCTGATCATACCAATCCAGAATGCTTCGTTCATCAATTTCCTCAAGTTTGGTGTCCAATGTTGTGAAACTACATGTATACCATTTTGAGGGTAATGCCAGCCCATATCACAACGACTACAAGGCTACTCATATACTCTGATAGCTTCCCCACGCCTGGAATGAACCGACAATCCCGAATACTTCCAGGCTGGAGATCTCGCCAACCAGATACGTCAAAAACCTCGCTCCTTTTCTCCGTCGTAGTCGGTGCGCAAAGCCTGCGGCTTCGAATCGCGTACTGCAGCGCCGATCTTCTTCCCATGAAGGACGCCGTCAAGCTCGCGTCCCTCCAGTCGTTCCCAGTAAGAATATCTTCGTACATGCTGCCTTCAGCACGACTTGATACGTCCTAGCACTGGCCACCTTTCTAAGATGGGTATTCACCGGGTGAATGTGTGTCTTCCCTGACGATTTGGGTCTCTGCTGTCTACCGAGGGCACCGTGTCGGTACTGTGTCTCTGTCTTTCCACCTTCTTGTCCGTTGATATCTTCAAGTCCAAGTTTAGGAATTTCCCCTTTTCAGCCAGAGCATCTTCGCTGGCATTTCTCTAGCAACATTTTTAGGCCGTAGTTTGCAACATTGAATTCCAGGACCATAGGTCACATGGAGCGCAAGCAACTATACAAAAATCCCGCGACTCTGAACTCTGACTGACTTCACGCGACGTTCTCTTCTTACTATGTAGTTCCTTTCTCAGGTCTAGCTCACTGCCTTTGGTTTGGCTTCCCTTGCTCAAGTCGTATTGCTGTTCTATGACGGCGTCGTAGCTGGTCCCTTCGGGTTGCCGGCTTTTCCAGCTCGGAACCCTTTTGAACTTGGGAGTACCGCAAACCCGGCAGAATATGAACGCGATGATGAGGGTAAGTACCAAATTGTCCGGAGGCGGCGCGTCCTCACTTCCAACCACGCCTTCATATTCAAAACGATGACGAAACTCAGGACAATCAGTGGTCGAACAATCGCCTAGAAAGTTGCGCACATATAATCCGATGTGCTCGAACACGGTGAAGTCCAGTGTTCGGGATTATTTTCGCAGATAAGTTCGAGCATGGATTACAGCTGACATGAATGCACAACCGTCAAATGTGGGTTGCGGCCAGGACAACATCGAGAATGGGGCCTTTTTTTCCGTGTGTATACAACGTCAACGATGTGAGGACTCAGCAACACCGTTTCTTGCGCATGCTTTTATCGCCACCGGTGCAACAATTGTACCCCTTGGCTCGAAGACTACATGTATACCACCTCAAAGAAATGAGTATTTCTTCTGAAGCTAGGAGGGTGCTGATGATGTGTCTGTTTGCTCAGAGATAGAAATTTTCGTGTTTCTCATCCATTTTTTGACAGACTACGTATTGTACTTACGCCATCTGCCAACGCAACGATATGAGGTGCGACTTGTGTGTGCTTTTTTCCGATGTTTTGTCGCATTGACGGGTTCAAGCCAGGTCGGTCTCTTCTGAAATCATCTCTTCCCCAGCTTCAATTCAAACTGACTGACGCTGACCTTGTACCACCCAGGGGTGTTGTAGTCTACTGCCAACCTGTCCTTCAAGCAGGTGAAGACATAACCTGGCAACCTTCATGACTGAGCGTTCTGTGTTTACTGAGCTCGGGTTGGTGAACATCTCGTATTCAAGTGTTAATTGCCAACATTCTTGTTGTGCAATGATACATTCACATCTCACCTCATCTAGATCTATCCCTGCTCATATGCATTTTTTTGTTGCCTCGACTCGTTTGCACGAACACAGGCGGATCTCTCCGATATGCAATGACCTGACGTTCAATTGGAGATGTTTGAACTTTCAAGTACTCACTATTGCCTGTCTGTAAATGCGAGGCTAGTCATCCTCCGTTCGCTTGTGTACACTCAGCTCACATCACTATCGCCTAACAGTTGGAAACTGAGATCCTAGCCATAGAGGAAGTCGTGCTGGAGGACCTCTATCACTGTGAATGTTGCCGTCGCAGCATCCATGTTGGTGCGCTTTGCATCTATACTCAGGACCATCTCAAATGACTATGCCCTGGCTTCCTCTCCTATAGTCAGGTTGTTCGCAGGCTCACATTTGCCTAGAGCTCACCAGCCGCTGGGCAATGCCCTTATCTCGTGTCTGGAATCTCCTACTTAGCTGTATCAACCCGCTCATACACAGCGTACATTCCGGTGCGCCAATTTTCGTCATCTTCTTGTCTCTATAACACTGACAAGCTTTACTTAGCAACCTGCCTTGAGGAGGGCTGGCTTGCTGCGCTCACAGCAGAAGGACATCGCCGGTTGTCATGTGAGTTGTTGGCGACTCAGAGAACACGGTATCTATCCTTTCAATGGCTCAATGGTCTAGAAGTATGATTCGCCCTTCGGGGTTTCCCCGGCCACGTGGTGGCTGTGCATGGGCGAGGTCCCGGGTTCAATTCCCGGTTGAGCCCCTTTTTGCATCTTTTTTGCATCTTCCGTCGTTCCTATTGTGCTTCTAGAACGGGGGAAAAACGTTTCAGAATCATTTATGTACTAATGGCCCAAAATTTCGATTTTCTGAGGGTTCCCTTGATCCCCTGCCTTCCTGCGTGCTTCAGTATGTACCCCTACCCCTCCTGCATGTCCTCCTCTATTTTCATGGTTACAGCACGCGAACTGCGGTTGCCAGAAGCCATCCGGTCGACTTCATCGATGGGCAATGATGGAATCATTGTGACCTGATCGTGACCGTCACCGCAACGTAACTCACCCTCAAATCGTCCCGTGCTGACTCTACTGAGTGCGTGTTGTCTCATAAATCTGGGCTGTTGCCGCCTTTTTTTCTCTCTGCAAGAGCCTCGTATCTATTCAGCGGTATCTTGGTCCCTCAAGGATCACGCATGTCCAAGATCGTTAGCGCACGCTGAAAACATACCCGTATACCGTTGAACCCACACCCAGTCCGTGAGTTGATGCTCGTTTCGATCCATTGAGAACATGGAATTGACCCCCTTCCTAGAATCGAATATCACGCCACGACACTGAATGTGTTTTGAAACTGGATTCACCTCAGCCTGGGCATTTCTCAATTCACATCCTTCATACAGCCTGACTGTTAACCAACGGTAGACTGTCACATCAAGTTGATTCTCGTCTCCCCCAACACATATCAGCTTTGAATCTTTTGGGGATCTACAAGACGGACTGTCTCGGTGTTCTGTTAGTTGACGCACGAAACTCGGGATCTGCTTCTCCCGTGTATATATGCACATGCGCCGACCACGCGAAATGCAACCAGCCGCACAACGACCCGCATCTTCCAATTTCTCTACCGCTATTTCGCGTGCAGCCTCCAGTATTCTGGACTTCCCCTGCTTCGGCCCTTCTGAAAGCCGGAGGGTCCTGGGTTCATCATCTCTCTGGGACTGGATCAATAATGGCTGCATCTTGTGCATGGACGCTATTCGCAAGATTTCCAGATTCCCATCTCGTCGGCATGACGGTAGCCTTTCACAGTTGCACACCTCAACAGCGGCTTTGACGACTATTTCCCCACTGCCAATTCTTCCGTTAATTCTTCGCGCTCACCTCTGCGTCGCTCGGGGCTGTCTCGGGACAAGGAAGACTTCCTTCTTGCGTTATGTTCATCGCGGAAACTCTGCGAGAACTGTTACTGAAGAGAAGGGCGCGATTCATCGCAATCGACTGCCACTTCTCAAAGGGGGGCGTTGGAAGAAAGAAAAAAACTTACTCCCAAATCAATTACACGCTTCCCGCGACGGCGAGCTTTGGTTTGGTATTTGTTTGTTGTGGGTTCTTCCCCTCATCCTAGATGCGTGTCAACTAACTGTACACAATCCCCCAGGGGCCCAAGATTCATTTGAGCACCTGCTTATACAGCGTGACCTTACTTGTCGGCCGCTTCGTCGGACGTACCCGAAGATCGCTCAATATCGTTGTTTCCGGTATCTTCAAGTTCAACGCCACCAACTCCACACTCAAGCCAAGGATTCAAGCTCCCCTTACCTCGACGATCAGCCATTCAAGATCCTACCGAACAAAGACTCTTGTGCCTGGTTCGCTTCGCAAAGTAGTCTTGTCCCAACTTGACATCCACCCACACAACAACGCCTCGAGATCAGGATCAACATCCCGCCATCACTGAGCTTCAATTATCTGTTGTATCGTTGGAGTGTTCGTCTGCACTGGCTATTGCCTGTTGATGCTGTTCTGATTCTGCATTCAGACTAGGCGCATTTTGAAACTGTAGCGGTAGTAATTGCGCAGCAGTCACGGTATATGATCAATCTTTTTTCCCGCTTTCATGGCCCGGCCGCCTTCTTTGCAATCAAGAATTGCAGCCATGGATCCAATCGCGCTGAGTAGCCGTTAACGTGTGCAACAACTTGCAAAATCTCGTCCCTGAGCTGTCGACTAGGGCATCAGTCTTGTGCTCGTTCGATTCGCATCCTTGCCGAACAACTCGTCATTCTACAGGCTCGTAACATGACTGTAGTGTTCGTCTGTGTCTTTGATAAAAGAAGACGTCCAGCGCCCCACAGTGTACGAAATACATGACAAGAGACTGGCGACTAACACGTCCGAGCGGCACAATAAACACAATTTTTGCCGCTCGGTCTCGCACGGCGGATGCCTGCGGATAGTGCGGATGCCCAAGCATTTTGTTTCCGCTGTTTCCCGTCCCGCAGAGGACCGCTCAGCACTTTAAGCGACTAAAAAGATCTGACCAAAGCAGTCAGTACTCCCCAACATCCGTAGCAAACCATTCCGAAGCCGAAACATCATCGTAGTGCAAGTACGGAACAGATGGCGGTGTTGCTTGCACATAGTTTCGCGGAAATAACAAGCAAGCAGTGTAGAAAGGGCGAAACAACAAAACGCCGTACCCCCTCGGGGGCAAAGTCCCTTGCGAGTGAGATGCTGTTAGCGACAGGCACGCGCAACAGCCGACACCCACAACATACTACACGCTCTACTTTTCTCCATTCATGTATTCGCCTTTTCAGGATTCCGGTGGGCGAGGAGAATGGAGCCAGAGTCTCAGAGAAATCGGAACGCGCACCGGAGGCCGAGCGCTCGTACGTCTTGTTGTAGGTGTTGATAAGACCATCTTGAAGTTTCTTTGACGCGTGCTTGAAAAGTTTAACCAGATGAAATTTGAGCTTTCGCGCTCTAGAGGAAGTAAACTGTCAAAATGAACGCGGGGCATGGATGTGGGGCGTACCAAGCCAAGAGTGTTACTAAAGTTTAGTGTAGATACAGACTGCTCAAGGTCGTTTAAGGATGGCGAGGATAAACAATCAATACTGGATTGTTGTGAATTGTTCCAGAGTCTGTATCACAATCTCCGGGTGTTAGTGACACGGCACCTGAGGGGGGCACTCTGCCCGGCGTCAATTGTGAAAACAAGCAAAACACTGTCGTTCTGGTCCAGCGGAACACTGTCTCGGCGACTTTATTTGACGTCGGGCCGTAGCAGACTTGTTGCTACGATGAAGTTCCATCGGATTGACACAAAGCGGTAGTTTCGTTGGTAGATGTGCGAACGGTGGATAGAGGAAGGCATAGCGCGATTGAACTGAGCGGATTAATCTTGGCTACATCTCGTAGTATCTGCATAGATCTCAGCGCACTGCAACCCTAAAATTAATATTGGGTTTCAAATTAGAGTTAGCGTGCGCACCACGCAGGTATCGAACCGCATAAATGGTTGCTGAATCAGTATACTTGCAAGCAAAAGGCTAACACAATGCTTGAAACCCGACCGAGACGACCGGTACCTTCAAGGAGCAATGAAGTGAATTTCAAAAGGTAGCTCTGAGTACGGTAGAAAAAAGCGAGAATTACCGCTGTATTTGTTTCAATTGACTTGACCGGCAACGCACACAGAACTTACGCCGGGCAACTGGCGCTGTGCGCGCAACGCTAAATGTCTGTCGGTCAGTTGAACTTCCTGTGACCGCGAATGGATACACACATTTTAGCCGGGCATCGGACCGGACGTTATAAAAGTACATCCAGCGAAAAGCTTTCAATCAACGAATCAACGTGGGGTATGAATCGAAGAAGTGAAGTCGTCCAGACCTATGGAACACACAGAACGATATTTGGTGTGTGAGCCGGAATGGAGAACACAACGTGCGCGAGACAGCGGGTGAGGAGAAGGACTCGGAAATATTAGCTTCTCTTGTCAAGTCGCCGGAGGAAGACTAGTCTCTACAGTGACCTGGACTTTTATGATATCCGGCCGTGTATGCCTGAGCTCGAGTAAGTCGACTTGAGCTATCGCAGCGAATCCAATGATTCGCCTTCCGATTCGACTTGAACCCAACACGACGTGTTCGAGGCCGCCGGTTTCGAGGCATCTATCAGACGTAGCGTACATAGGAACCGTATAATGCTCTTCTTTCGTGCACGGAGACACACAGGCGGAGTCGAAGACTCTCCGCCGATGTCGAAATTCGAGGTAACACGCTTTATTTAAAGTTATCGTGAGCAAAGAGGCTTCCGGACCAAGGGGGGTGCAAAGCCGGTTGGTTCAGCTGTAGATAGAATATAACGCGTCTGTGGTCCATCGGAATCGAAAGAAAATTCGAGTTGTTGACGCCTGTGCGTGGGTTGTGTATTGGGGACGCCGCCTGGGCCTTGCACGGTTCTTGGTGCCATGGTCGATAGCGTCGAAGAGTTCAAGGCTGACCAACCCGACGCGCGAAGGGGGCCAACTAGTAGCCAAAAAGGACTGAACACAGCTAAAAACGAAGCTCCAAGGAGACGAGGAAGACGAGGTGGCGGTTCAATCCAAGTTGTACCTGATTATGTAACATATTGACTGCTGCTGACGCGTCGTTACGTAACTCGTTCAACTCTCCGACTTACTTCCTTGTTCAATGTCGATTCGTCGCCGTCCATTGGTATGACTCTGGGTATCCCGAGCTCAGCGCTAACTACGATATATTGCTGGTAAAATGTAGCGATTATCCCGGACCTCGATTTCAGTCGCAATCGCTGCAATTTGTTGCCAACGATGATGGCCAGTTGACGCGACCGTCTGCTGGACAAGACAAGAAAAACGTCCCGAATCGAACGCATCGCGTCTACTTTATCCTGTCTCGGACCGAATGCACCGAGCACGCCTGTGGCGGCGTCCGCGTCGTCGTTGATTCAATGATTGCGCATGCTAGATTCTCTAACAAGCCAAAATTCACCAGGTCAACGTTGAAGGAATCCGAATTTCGCGGGACGCCTTGAATGACTCGGACTCGTCACTGGCCGAACCAAACGGCGAGTATTATCCCGAATTTCGAAGACGACGATGCACGCGCCGGCGCCACTGCAGATCCTACTACGTCCGCGTTTGTTCGAAGTTTAGCGGACTCTATTCGTTTCGTTCGTTGCCGCGATGATTGCGAATGTTGGATGTTCGATCCTTCGAACTTTAACCAGCGAGTTT